CGAACTTGAATGTCGACGACTCCGTGGAAGGCTACATTGACCGCATTACCTTCACGTTGGCATCGACAATTGAGGATCACCTCCCAATCGGATCGTGTTCGATTTTGGGACGCCCACCAATCCATCCGTCGCCGGCAACTTGTTCATCACTGAAGATCTTAGGCTTCTTCTTCCTAGTGGTGATCTCTTCTCTAGTGTGGAGTATCTTCTTCCGCTAACCCCACGAGTGATTGAGTGAGAAGATCCTCAAGGTGAAATCTCTCATTATTAAATTGTGGATTTTTGTTATTCCGTTCATAAAACTTATTCTTGTCTTTGAAGTTTGATTGAATTGTCTTGGTTATTCTAACGAGTACTTCTTTGCCTAAACAAATTAAAAACTACGAATTTATAAAATCTTTCTTTGTTGTGAACGATAATTTTTATATTGGAAAAGCTTTAGACAATTGCTCTTATTAATTTCTCGCTAACTCCTGGTGGTATCACACCACCCTTACACAAAACTTGATTTCAAGATAAATATAATAATTCTAAGAGATTTAGTAAGAAACACTTTACAAAGAGACAAATGACGTTTTGGATTGATAATAAATATTTTAAACTCTATTATCTTTCTTACAAATATTACTCACAAAGCTCTCCAAAACATATTTACAGTTGGAGGAACAAAGCTTGAGAGGAAGAGAATGACTTGGTGTATATATCTAGAAGAAACCTTTGCGTTTTAATTCTCTCTTTATATCTTCTAATGTTTTTAAATGTTTTATTCTGTGTAATTCTATGTTGGTATGCCTATTAGCAACTCAGAACAATAATAGCCTTTCAAAACCAAAATCAATCAATAATCAATGAAGATATTAAATGAAAATTCAAATTACTATAAGATTGTAGTAGATCATGGATTATATAGTTCGATCAATTTGATTCATAATACAAACTAAATATCATATTTTGTTATTATCGTCGTACAATATAATCTATAGATAGATGTAATTAAATGCACTTTCTTTAATGATTTAGTTGGCTTGATTTAAATTTAATGCTGATTGTACTCTACAATCATTTATTGTACTATATGATTATTTTTAAATTTGAATTAGTAATTTGTGTATGAATTAATTCTTTAATTAAATTAATTCTGATTTGTATGTGTGTGTGTGCAAGTCATTATAAACTTCATCAATTCTTTTTAATACATTTAATATATATCTTAGCTGACTATCATTTTTTTTATATTTAGAATATTAACGACATTTTTAGTGATTTAGTTGCTATTTATGATGCATAGACATGGACACAGCGATATGAATACAACACAGATATGGAATATATCAATTATTAAAAATATAGGACACAATATTATAATTTTTATATTTTAAAAGTAGTGTATAAAAAATGAGTAAGTATAATATTAAAAATAATTTAAAAATATTAAGTCATTTAACTAGAATTTATGCTTAAAATGATTAATAATTTGACATCGAGAGTCGTGCATCGATGCAATGTATCAGGCATTTAAAGAGGAGACGACAATGATGTTGATAGTCGGTCATCGATGTTATGCAGTAATGTTGGGCGTCGATGTCGAGAGGGCGCCTTTCGTCGATGTTGAGAGGACGTTGGTCGTCGATATTAAGATGATGTTGGATAAAGATAAGTTGTCAAGTTGTTGTTTAGAAATTGCTAACGTCGAGTATCACTAACAAGATAGTGCCAGACTTTGATGTTGAGGTTGTTTTGAAATGTCGATGTTGTAATGATGTTAGACGTCGATGTTGTAATGATGTTAGACGTCGATGTTGAGATGGCATCGGGTATTGTTGTGAAATCAAAGTCGTGACCCGCCAAAGAGAAATGAAAATGAGAATATTCGATGAATGGGGTTTGAGTGCAGGCGATTGATTTGGTATTATGGATAAGAAATAAAAAATTTAGTTTTATATTTTAAATAAATAAAAAATTTAAATTCAAGAAATTATATTTTTTAAAAATTTCATAAAATATTTAAGACGGAATTTTCCTATTTTTATTTAATTTTTTATTTAGTTGGACACATTTTCGGTGTGTCCGACACATGTCGGAGGTATGTCAGACGCGTGTCGCGTCGGATACGTCTCAGACATTGCATGGTGGCTTGAGAAGATGTGCCGGTGCATCATAGGTTGCTATACCCATTTGCAATTTGTGAAATGGAGCAATGGGGTGACCTCATCAAAGGTTGTACTTTCCCAAGGGTTACTTCTAAAGTGGCCGCCTAAGGTTAGAACTTTATGGTGTAATCCACATATTATCTTTGGCATTATCTGAAATAGTGCTACTTATTCAATCAATCTTATATTTACCCGTCTAGGTGAAATTTTGGCGTGTTAATTGCTTGAATATCCCACAAGTCACCTCTTGATGGCCATCCTTCTTTAGATAGTCATTCTACCAAACTAGGCTTCACTCTGGATAATGCAACCTTGTCATAAGTGTTATAACCATATAAGGTGAAGTAAGTTTCCAACCGATCAATCTATACACCTAGTTTCTTGACATTAATTGTATCAACATATGTAGGCATCTTCACTTTGGCTTACACTTATGGTCACATACTTCCTTAATGAGAGGTGGCCTTATTCTGGCCGTCATCCTCTTCATTCATATTTGCATTTGAAATGAAAGAAGAAGAAGGAATATGACTTAGCCCACTAGTCACAAACTCGTAGTGGTGGTATTCTGCATACTCAATCACTTGATCATGATCTGATTACTAGATTTGAGGTTGAATTGCTATTAGCCTTTGATTGACTCTTTTTTTTTTTTTCCCTTCTCACTCTTTTCTCTTTCATAGCTTTTGATGTGATTCTAAAAAACCAAGCATATCCTTTTTCTGTTTGTCCCATCAATAAGGAATGATGCTCTAATACCAACTTGATCCATTGACTTATGTCTTTATTTATTTATTTATTTACATTGTAACTAGATTTTCCCCCTCTGTTTTCTTGTGAAAATAGTTAAGTATAACGATTAATTTTCCTTCTGGAGTGTTACGACAATATACATGACATTGCAACTATAGCAACAATACAAGTTGAGCAATAATAGTTGGCAACACAGCATCTAAGTGCAATTGCAAGGAAGAAATGACATTGCAATTGCAAGGCAGCAACAATAATGTAATTGCAAGAAGGCTGCAATGACAATGCATTGATTGACTTTCTTTCTATTGTTCTTGTTCTTATCTCTTTATTGGTGTTTGATGTGTTTTCAAAACAAGAAGTGTCCCATGTCTTTAGGAATGAATTTTCTTTATTGGATTTAAACGAGAATTTAATTTTTAATATGACACAATGGAGAAAAAGGATTCATGCAGCCAACCCCACGTAGTGGGATAAAGACTTGATGTTGTTGTTGTTGTCGTCGTCATTATAGATAAATTTCCCCTCCCTATTTTCTATTGAAAATAGTGAGAAGGACAATTATTATTATTATTATTATTTGTTGAGAGTGTTATGACATCACTTGACTCTACAACACAACCATACAACCAATAACCTTCGATAGTGACAAAGCAATTTCAAGTTTGTAGAAGCAATGCAATAAGATAGCAACAACAAAGCAATTGCAAGTTGCAGTTGCAAGTCAACAATAGCAAGTAACCAACATCCCCACCCTCACTATCGCCACCCCCCAACAACAAGGTAGCGAGAATGCTACAGTTGATCAACAATAACAAGTAGAAAGCTCTCGCACATTGTGCTGTTGCCTCTTAGGCCTAACTATATGACCTAAACTTGAGACCTTAAAAGATGTAGAAAATGCAAAGGGGGAGAGGGGGAAGGAAATTATTTTACAGAGAAATCTCTTTAATTCTATTTTAAAAGTTCAAACATATTTATAGAAAATTGTAATAGAGAATTATTTTTATCCAGACCTAAACAGTCTTGGTGAGTACAGAAATGTTTTTATAACAACAACCTAGATAAAGCTCAAACTAAACAATAATTATCATAATTATAATTAAATTCAAATACAAACTTTTCCAAAAAAAGGTAAAAGAATTCAAATTCATTATTCTTATGGAGCCTTGTTCTCCTTTGTATGATTTTCTATTGATGATTCGATAATGCCTACAGTTTTTGGAGACATGTTTAATCTCAATTATAGGATCTGAGAATCATCACCATTAGTAATTTTCTTGGAAAAATTGGACCATTAGAACTTCAACAATCACAATCTTTTCAATTTTTTTGCAATTTGATACTCAAATTGTGATCATAGATGATTGGTATTGTCACCTATTGATCTGATCCCCATCTTAAGCCGTACATGCAATGAAGTTTTTTTATTATTTTCTTTTACATTTCATTTTATAACTAAAGTCAACCCTTTAACCTTGAACCTAAACTTAATGATGTTCCAAGAATTAAGTTGATGTAGCATAAGAAATTAATTCTAGGATTTATTTCAAATTTAATTTTAACTAGGATTTTTTAGATAGTTTGAACTTTTTGATTATTTAGGATTTGTGAATGAAGTTTAAACTTAAATTTAAATAGGAGGTCCATGTCTTATATTTGATAAGTTGATTTGTGAATGAAGTTTAAACTCTTCTTATGCTCTATCCTGTCTTATCTATCTTGGGTATCCTCTTCTGATACCTGATTATTCTATTTTCACAACTGATATGCATTGTAAGGGCCAGGTAACTTTGGCTTTTGGAACCTATTAGCATCTAAGATTGAGGAGAAGGTTCACCAGTAACGATCTCAATGCTGGATCATATAACTAATTGCCTTGTCTTGAACGTTTGATCTCTTGCCTTTATATATTATTTTGCTATACTATATCACCTGCAAATCTAATCAGGCGAATGGGCAAGTTTTGCGAGTTGCATAGTTCAAGCTGGGTTTTTTTTTGGTCAAATATTGTGTTCTTGAAGTATCTGTAAACCTTTATGTTTAAGCAATCTTACACCCAAATAATTTAGAACTATAACAATTTTGGTTGATTTGCAGCTGATTCTGAAACCGAAAGCACTAGTTCTGAAGCAAAAGTTGTGAAGGAGGCAATTGATTTTAAGGAATTGAAACGAGTTGATCATATTCTTGCATCATTACAACGGAAGGTGAGATAGCTGGTTTTTTTTTTTTTTTTCATTATTATATCTTGTCAGATATTGTTATAGCATAGCTTGGCTAGATTTGTGAGACTAGAAATATCATCAAATGAGGGCAAAGAATTTCTTTTATACATTCTCATATTTGACTTTGTGCAAAGAAGGATAAAGAATGCACTCATTTAGTTCAGTAGATTTAGTGTAGGAGAATAATGAAGGGGATGGATTAGAATTAAGATAATGTGGATGGAAATTGTTACAAATGACTAATCAAGAAGAATAGGTTAACATCTTTTGAAATACTTAATATGAATGAATGAAAAATAAGGATTCATCTCAAATAGTTGTCATGAAGCCAACGATGATTACGATATTTGACTGTTCTTCTCTCTCAATTTTTACTTAAAAAATTATCCCATGACTTGCTGAAGAGTTGGCGCCACTTGCGCTAGAGAAAAATCTCCAAACTGAAAGCATAAACTTATATTAACATCTATGCCTGTTGCATGAAATTATATGTCTGGAAAGTTGAAGGCTGATTGAACTTAAACTTTTAAAATAAACTGAGATGGTCCTTTATTGTGTTGTGTATCATGTCTAAATTTTCTTGAACAAACATGTATCCTTGAGATAGAAGGTGTCAGGCTTGTTGTGTGATAGAAAAGTACCGCTCAAACTTAAGAAAAAATTTTATAAGACGGTGGTTAGACCTGCAATGCTTTATGGCGCATAAGTTTAGCCATTAAAAGAGAAGCATAATATTAATTTGTGTTGCTGAGATGAGGGTGCTCAGGTGGATAAGTGGTTTTACTCTTAGAGATAGGATACGAAATAAGCATATAAGTGAAAAGGTTGGAGTAGCTCTAGTGGTAGATAAGATTAGAAAGAGTTGCCTTAGATGGTTTGGTCACATAAAATGACGGCCTTCTGATGACCCGGTTAGGAGAGTAGATATATTAGATTTAACCTATATTATGAAAGTTAGAGATATACCTAAAAAGACTTCGTTAGAAAATATTCGTTATTAGTTCTAAATGAGCATTTGACTCTTAATCGAACACAATGGAGGGAAAGGATTCATGTAGCCGACCCCACATAGTGGGATAAAGACTTGTTGTTGTTGTTGTTGAAATGTTTCCTTGGGATTGAACAATTTCCTTCAACGCAGCTGCCTGCTGCACCCGCTCCCCCTCCATTTCCTGAGGGCTATGCGCCACCTGCTTCTGAAGCAGAGAAGGGCACAGAAGATACACAAAATCCAGAAGCACAGCTTCCAACAGTTGATCCTATTATCGACCAAGGACCAGCAAAAAGGATGAAATTTCAATGATCTATAGTCGCCAATTAAATGTGTTTGTTCTTTTTCTGTAAGCTCCGCTTTTGTTTTTGTTTCGGCAGTACCAAATGTAAGTAATATTCTGTAAGCTCCACTTGTGTCAATATTGTTTTTATCGTTAATTATATCATTATTATTATCAGAATTATTAATTTTGTTGGATCGGCTAAATGTGGAAGTCTATGGTGATTGGATTCAGTATATCGATTGATCAAAAATTGGAATTGAAACAAACTGACCGATTTTTTTTTTTTTTCTTATTAAAACGCAGCTCAAACAAATCCATTTTGAAAAAATATAAAGTAAAGTTGATTTGAAGCAATCAAGAGAATGCAATTTTATTATATTTGATTTTTATTAAATATTTGATTCAAATGTAATTAATAAATAGAAAAAATTAATTTTTTTATTGGTTTGCATATTTCCTATAAAAAATAAAAACACAATTTATTATTATTTATCCAATAATAATAATATTCACTGAATTTCTTGATCAAACATAGTTTTATGTTTCCTTAAATAATCTATTAATCCCTAATAAGTCATAAAATATGATTTAAATTTAAGACATTAAAAAATAACTTTCAACTTTTTTTTGTTTTGTTTTGGAGGACATAATAAATTCATATGCATATTACATATACAAGTTTTAAATTCAAAAAAACTTCTTCATTGATAATTAAAATGAGCTGCAAATAACCTTGTCCTTCAATGTTGCAGATCCTTTAACATTTAAGTTAGAATACATTTCCCTCGCCATTTTCATTTATTTCCTTCACTGATTCTTTCAATTACTTTAAATTTGATAGAGCCTAAGAGTTCTCTTTACTGTCTTCCACTTAAAAATAATGGATAATAGAGGCCAACAACAAAACCTTTTAAGGAAATGAATAACACCACAGCATAAGTGTAAGAACGGATGAAGCAGCAGAAGCCGAGTAATGGACGTCAAAATATACGATACGGAAAAATATTTCTATGTGGACGTCAAACGTCGTCCAGAGACCAACCAAAATGCGTTACGTCATCCCTTCACTCGGTACCGCTGCTCAATACAGCTGATGTGGCTGCACTTGATTCGCCTCCGGATGTAAAGTTGCGTCCGACACTTGCACATAATAATTTCTCCAAAATACGAGTATTTGTCGAAAAGTTCTGTATGGAATCAGGCGTATAGAATGTATGTTCTCCATGCACACCAACATAGAACACTGCCCTTGGCAGTTTTGATTTTGTTGATATAAAACTATAACGAGTTTAAAAAACATATCTACAATGTAGTTGGAAACTTACTAATTGATCTATTTTCACTGTATTCGCTACTAAGAGCTATCAAACTGCCATCAATCAGTTCATGTTTTGCATTAGAAGAAGGAAAATAATCAAAATAACTCACGCTACAGGAAGATGATCACCACTTCTATTTGGGACAGTTTGTGCGACGTCTTGAGCATTCATCTCACCAAATGTCCGCTTCCTTGCTGAGGATTCAGCCATGTCCAAATCTTTTACCTTCTCTTCCTTCTCTTCGCCTCCGTCCGTCAATTGTGGAGGAGGTGGTGGTGGTAGCTCAATGCCGCTCAGGCGACGATAGACTCTCTCAACCACTTCACTGATCTCTTTTCCTAAGCCATTATTATCCAGTATTAGCTCCCATACTGCCTTCGAGGCTTTCTCAAGGACTGGCGATCTGTGAAGGAAATCAATCAAAAGAGTTTCAGCAATCAATGTTTACAGAAGAGCATATATGATTGGACAAATTATTAAAGTAGCAGGCAACATGAGCATATATGATTAGAAATATTTGACAAATAAACTACTAACTCGAGTTCTTGTCTGAGCGCGTCAAACAACTCCCGTTTAGTCTGCTTCTCAGCACCCGCTGTGTTGAGCACCTTACTTTGCTCCACCATTGTGATTGTGTTTCTCTTCAGTTCCTCCTGAAGGAAAATGTATGGACCATTGGAGGTGATATATCATCAAAAATTTATCTTGCTCGGGAATGAATCTCAAGATAAAATCAAGTCAGAAACTTTCGAAATTAAATTCATAACCGTAAAACTCCAATTTCAGCAAACTTATAGTCGAACTAAACGTCTCGAAAAGACAAACCCAACAACACCGAATTCGACCCAATCCGAGCCCAAATGTGGGTCTAAATCAAAGATCCGAAGCACATTTAGAAAGTTCAAATCATAAATTGGCTAACCAAATGGTTTTCAAACGTGACATGCTTATAGTTGAATCGAGCAGCTCGACCACGAATCCAACGAGCCCAAGATCGCCAAATTTTGATATCATTAAGATATTCAAATGCTCTGTAAACGGTCCACAATCAAGGGGATCAATATCAGCCATCAATTCAAACCACTCCCAACATACCATTGATCTCCATCCTATTTACTAGCCATGCCACTCAAAAAATTATAAATAGACCCTTCATTCCTCATGGAAAAAGGAAGGAAGTAGACAGAAGCAAAGAAGAGAAGAAAGAGTGAGAAACTAGAGTTCTCTTGCCACCAAACTCCACATCGACCACCGTCGAACAACCGACCGTCATCGAAGCCGGTTATTGAATGACGTCTGACTTCCACCTAGCCATTGACTAATGCCAAACTTTCGCCTAGCCACCTATTGACCCCAGACTTCCGCCCTACCAACAACTATTGTCGAACTTCCGCCACAACAACTATCGCCAGACAACAATCCTTCTGACCTCCGTCGCCCGCTGACTACGGTCCTTCCGACATCCATCACCAAACTACAGTCCTTTCGACCTCTGTCACCAAAAAATGATCTTTCCAACCTACATCGCCCTTCAACAGTTTTTTTCTGACCTTCGTCACCCGCCAACTACGGTCCTTCCGACCTCTGTCGCCAGACTACAATCTTCTCGACTTCTGTCACCCATCGACTACGGTCTTTTCGACCTTCAATGCCCGCCAACTACGATACTTTTGACCTTTGTCGCTAACTGACTATGATCCTTCCAACCTCCATCGCTAGACAACAGTCTTTCTGAGCACTGTCGTCTGTCGACTACGGTCCTTACGACTTTTGTTGCCAGACTACGATTTTTCTGACCACTATTGCCCCGCCGACTATAGTCCTTCCGACCTCCGTCGCCCGCCAACTACGATCCTTCCGACCTACGTCGACACACAACAATCTTTCTGACCACTGTCACCCGATGACTACGGTCCTTCTGACCTCTGTCGCCAGACTACCGTCTTTCCGACCTCCATCGCTCACCGACTACGGTCCTTTCAACCTTCGTCGAATGCTGATTATGGTCCTTTCGACCTCCATCGTCTGACAACAGTCTTTCAGACATCCATCACCCGCCGACTACAGTCCTTCCGACCACCATCACCCGAATACGGTCGTCCGTCGTCCGCCGACTATGATCATGCCGACCAAACAAACATGTCAATATTGATTCTTTCAATTCTCGCCATGTAATACACTCTATATGATGCATATTTGTTACAACAAGCCAAAGGCTTTCCGCCTAAATAAGGGCCTCATTTGTAATCAACTGCATGCACTAGTAGATTCGTTCAAACTGAGTCAGGCCCCATAGTTTTTCTCACTTTTTAGGGGTTTCCACGTAAAAACTGTGGTGTCTCTTATGAACGTTACACCCTCTTTTATCTGATTGTGTGCTGGATTTCATACAATGCTATGAATTTAAAATTTATATTTCTTTATCACCGTGCATATTCCATGACGCAACACGAGGTAATTACACAGTATCGATTACTTCTCCCGTCTGAAATTGATCCTTGAACATCAATTACCACTTTCACTTAACAATTTAAGAAAAAATCATTATTGCAGCATAATGTATAAAGAAGAACAAAGCACATTTGGCATAAAAGCATCCATCTTGATTTTTCTATTATAGCAATTTCTAAAGCAGGCAGAACTAATAGGCTTAGGCTTCATTTGAGGCAGCTATCTTATTGCTTTATAATACATTTTTTTAGTAAAAAATTTTTGAACTAGAAATATTTGTACTGAAAAGCTGCTTTAGAAAGCAGTAAGAAAACTGTTCCAAACAAAACCTTAGTAATACATTAAGTAGTTGAAAAATATATTGGCATAGAAATACTGACAATTAGTTCTCACCGATAAAATTAACATTTTTGTTGAAAATGGGTTAAACCATAGCGGGTAGAAAAATTGGCATCCTCTTGAGGAATGATTTGACTCATAAATAGCAAGTCAAGAAAGAACTTAGTAAGAACTCTCACGCTTGAAGAGTCGCCTCCTCTTTTTTCGTAGCACAAAAAGGTTCACTCTATAAGTAGAGTTATAAAAATTACCACCAAATAATTAGTTAGACATAGGTGTGATCAACTAGAAGTAATTAATACGATAAAAATTTATGGATTTTGTTGATGAACGAGAAACCAAGGGTTGGGCATCTAGGAAACAATAAATGAAAACACACAACATGCAATTATGAAAAACTCATCCAAGTTCTCTAATAAAGAAAAAGAATCACTAAACTTATCTTCATATGCATGCAAATGGATCTTTTCGGTCCTAATACTAAATGATAAAAAGCATGGAGCTGGAATGTTCTCGGCCATATGGACAAGTGAAAATACAATCTTGTGCAAGAGGAATTGGGGATTTTCATGAAAAATGTGAGATTTCATTTACAAAAAAAAAATAAATGATACAAAAATATGGGATTCAAGGGCTGCCTTCTAACCTTTTAGTGGAGGTTGGCTTTTTTTATGTGCTGCAGATTTACCCATTTTTTGGGGAAGATGGTTCCGATAGTGGTTCTTGATTTGGTCTCATGATTTCTTGCTGTTTTGAGGCTTGTTGGTGGCTGGAAAGTAGTTTTAGTTATGGTATCATCATATATCTGGATTCTTGGTATGCTCTTGCGGTGGTTGGTATGTTATCGCGGTGGTTGGAATGTATTTTTTTGGAAAGAATTATTCTACTATGTATCTGTTTCCTAAATTTTAGAAAAAAATTAAGCTAGTTTGTTATTTCTTTTATTATACACTTTTTTAGTATATATATATAGATGTAGATGTAGTACCATTTTTTAAAGAAGAATAATAAATTAAAAAATTCTTCATAGTATTAGGCTAGTTCTATGAATCCTAATCCCTTCAGGTCGCCTCTCTCTAGCAGATTCTTTCTGGTCGTCTCTTCTTTATTTCTCGGGCCGATTCTATTAGGCCAGTGTTCGTCCCGACCTTATATATTTCCAACAACCTTATTTGTTCTTCTCCACCATCTTCTTTGTAATACAAATAACCTCATCATAAACATCCAATCAAAAGATAATTCAAAAATTCTAAACCTTCGTAGCAATGATTATTCTCCTATTCTCATCACAGGACAAATTAAATAACCATAATTATTTATAGTGATCACAATCTATGTGACTGTTCATTTGCAGTAAGGGAAATGATGAGTATCTCAAGAGTAGCAGCGATGTCATATACTACAAATCCATGTTTCAAAAAATGGAAGATTAAAAATAGTATGATCATGTTATGGCTTATCAATTCCATGAAAAATGATATAGGGGAAAAATTCTTGTTTTTTGGGACTACAAAATAAATATGGGATGCATCCAAAGAGCCTTACTCTTTGAAAAGTTGTTTCAGGTGGAATCAATACTTCATGGCTTCCGCTAAGGAAAGCAGTCTATTACTTAGTATTACAACACAAATAATATTGGCAACAACTTGATTTATTCGAAACTCACTCATCGACATATCCAGAAGATGCAGTAATGTACAAATGGACTATGGAATAAAAAAGGTTGTTCAAGTTTTTATTAGGACTTAATAGAGAGTTGGATGATGTTCGAGGTCGAATCATCGGCACTAAACTATTGCCCAATCTTAGGGAGGCTTTCTCAAAGATTAAGCATGAAGAAAGTAGAAAGAAAATGATGATGGAATCTAAGGAACAACCCGCATCAATGTTGGATGCATCTACCCTTGTTGTCCAATCATCTAACAGCAATAGTGGAGATTGTCAGAAACGAGAAAGACCTTAGTATGATTACTATAAAAAACTAGACCATTACAAGGAGACTTGCTGGAAGCTCCATGACAAACAAGCGGATTAGAAACCAAAGCCATGGTTTGATAGAGACAACAAAGCACATATGACTTTCAATTCTAAGAGTACTATTCTCGAGCATAGCCTATTTAGTAAAGAGCAGATGAATTTGCTGCAAAAATTGTTTAGTCAAGTTGGGAGTGGTAGCATTACAAGGACATAATTGATTGTTCAAATAAATTCACATGCTTCCGTCACTACTAACATAGGAGATTTGAGGCTATGGATAGTCGACACTGGTGCTTCTGATCATATGAAAAGAGATGCCCCCCTTCACCCAAATTACAAGCTACGTAGTGGGCAGTAATCTGTCTATATTACTGATGGTTCACATTCTAAAATTGTTGGATGATGTTTCATCCAACTTACTAAAGTATTGTATCTCAACTCTATCCTCAATATTTCAAACTTTGATTGTAATCTTTTATCCATTAGAAATTTGTAGAATCTTTCAATTTTGTGTCAAATTCTAATGTCAATAAAGATAGTGAAATTATATTATTATACTATTGTCTTGGTCATCCTAGCTTTGTGTATCTAGCAAAATTATTTTCCAGCTTATTTATCAATAAAAGCCCATCATCTTTTCATTGTGAAACTTGTTAGATTATAAAGCATTCTCGCACAATATATCCTCAAATTTGATGCAAACCTTCAATTACATTTTCTTTGATCCATAGTGACCTGTGGGGTCCTTCAAGGATAAAAAAATATATTTCTAGCACTCAATGGTTTGTGACATTTGTTGATGATCATACAAGGATAACTTAGGCTTTCTTTATGAAAGAAAAGTCTGAGATTGGGCAAATTTTTCAAACCTTCAATCTTCTTGTTC